GCGGCTGGCGGTGGTAAGTCCAGCCTCTCAGCACCTCTCTCCGCTTCTGGCTGGGCTCTTAAGTAGACTTAAAAGGCTAGATGGATTAATCTTAAAGCCAGTGTGGTGCAGTGGTTTGAGTGCTGTATTACGACTCTAGTGACCAGGGTTTGAATCCCTGCTTGACCATGGAAACCCATTGAATGACCTTGTGCTAGACACATTTAGCCTCAGAGGAAGGCAAAGGCAAAACACCTCTGAAGAAATCGTGCCAAGAAAATTCTGTGATAGGTTCTCCTTATGGTTGCCGGAAGTCAGAGATAACTTGAAGACACAACAACAACAACAACAGCAACGATAGTTCAGATGCAATGGGGAGAAGTAGTTTGAGTGGTACTCACTCTGGGAAACCAGAGAGTTATATGCTCTGAGCCTTAGAGGAAAGCAATGGCAAACTTCCTCTGAATGAATCTTGCCAAGAAAACTATGAGAGGATGCAGACAGGTGGCCCTGGGTTGCCCCGGGAAGCAGAGGGTTGGGGCTGAGGCCTGGGCCACCGGCGTGGGGTTGGACCGCCTGGCATGCAGCTGTCCCTCCCCATCCCTGCCTCAAGGCCAGCCCTTTGAGCCAAACTGCAGAAGCCCTATGTTAGGGTTTCCATAACTTGGAGTCAACTTAAAGGTACATAGCAATTAAGAATAATAATAATTTAATAATTTTTATTTTTATCCTGCCCCTCTGCAGCACAATTGACCATGGAAACTACAGTCATGGTGCTTTCCATGGATTACCATTTGGACTGCATTATCTTCATGTTCGTCTATGACAGGGGTCGGCAACATTAACGCACCTGGGGCCGGTCGCTGGTCTCCTGGTCTTCCGCTGGGCGGGGGGGGAATGGTGGCATGCACGCACAGCCGCTGACGCCACTGCTACCACGCGCGTCACAGCCACCATTTTGTTTGCCAAAATGGTGGCCGCAACTTGTTTGCGCATGCACAAACGAGTTGCGGCCGCCATTTTGGCAAACAAAATGGCGACTACGATGTGCGTGGCGGCGGGAGCGCGCGGGGGCGGTAGGCCGGGGGCGGCGCGCAGGCCATAGGTTGCCGACCCCTGGTCTATGACATAACAGTTTTATGACTCAAATACTATATAGTGTATTTCTTCTAGAAGATTTCATAGAGTTCAGGTTGAAGAAAGAGGAAGAAATATCCTTACTTCCTGAAGACCTGTATTTACTTTATTTTTCTCTTAATAGTCTCCTTTCGGCTTCTTTTCAGCGCCAAGCAAAATACACAGAAAATAAACTGAAAGCTATTAAAGCAAGAAATGAATATCTGCTGGCTCTGGAGGCTACTAATGCATCTGTGTTCAAGTATTACATCCACGACCTGTCTGATCTCATTGATGTAAGTGTTCTGGTTTTGGGGTGTCTTTCCTGGATGTTGCTGCTGTAAATGCCATTGTGTCCTTGTCTTAACTCCTTTAATGAGAGAAATTTTCATGAGAGGGAGGGTTATGTTCTTCTTAAAGATAACTCTGAATGTGTTGCTGTTCTAGTACAGTAATAGTAACTTTCATCCTTCCTCTCCTGTTTGGAAATGGTGCGAGCCTACGCAAAAATATTTCCTGTAATTCTGTTAAACTGTTTAAATCATAAAATAACTGCAGCAGGTGGGCCCTTTCTGCTCCCCAACTTCAGCCTGGAGATAGTAGTGTAGCTGATCTCATCATCTTGCCAGATGGATGTGATATGCCCACTATGGAGACAGTGGTGAGCAGAATATGGACCTCTTGTGATCAAGTGAACCCACTAATGGCAGACTGCAGTATTTTTCATGGTGAAACAATTAAATATTTAATGCTTGGAATGCTGAAAAGATCTAAGTTTTTAAGAGCTTGATTAACTCAAAAATTGTCCTTTGTTGTGTGGATACTAGCAGGAGTGATGTATTGACTGTATTGAGCTGCTTCCTCAGGCAGTTTCTGATTGCTGCTGGATACTGATTTTCTCTGTTTCTTGGTGGCAGCTGTAATAGTGTCCTGTAATCAAGGTTAAAAATACATTGGGGAGCCCTGAGGGTAATTGGTTGAGAGAGAGAGAGAGTAAAGCTCTAAACAAGCAAATTAATTCCTCTTCTTTGCTTGCTCTTCACTGTTTGTTATACAGCCAGTCATAAAATCAAACAGGTCACGCTCATTTCTGTTCAGTACAAGTATTTATTGGAGGCCTTCACTGTTCATTCTGTTCTGAACTACAAGCTTTTTAATACCAGAAAGCTTTCGTCCTAGAGATGGCTTGGGGATACTGTATCCATGCTTCATATTTTCTGCTGCCTTTTATGTGTAGACTTATTACCTGATTGATTTCAGAGTTGCAAATAAATAAATCTGGTCTATCATTCACCTTAAGTGTTTATAAGATTCAAACAGTCTTGTTTTTATGAATACTCTAGAGCAGGAAAGGTAACTTTGTGGCCCTCTGGGTATTGTCATAGTACAATTCCCAGCATGCCTCATCTTTGGCAGGCTAGGATTATGGAAACTGGAGTCCACTTTTTCCACCCCCATCTATAGGGCATCCCAAACCTTTGGATTATCAGGAATGGCAGTGAATTGAAAATTTTCATTATATGCTATGCATGGAATACATATAGTAATTTTTTAAGGTAGGTCTACATATGCAGGAAATGTTTGTGATATAATTTTCTTGAAATACTACCATTTCAGAACAGAAAATGGCAGTCTCCTGTTTCAGTGCAGTCCATATGAAAATCATTCTCTCTACAGAAAACTGGCTTTAGAAGATGGATGAATCAATATTATTCTAATCACATTCCCTTTTCTTTTTATGTCTTTCAATTTTGCATGTTTTCACTCAAATCCTTTCTCAATTCTGCATCCATCTCACACATTTTAAAAACCAAATTAAAAATCATAATTACATACATATGCCTTGTTCCCTACTGTACACATCCTTATCTTCAGGATTCTTACATGCACTTATTTTTCAAAGCAACTTTTCCCAATAGGTTTATTCTATATGCAGATTTTGAGCATAGCAAAATTCAGAGAAGTGTACAGTTTTTTTATTAAAATACAGTCGTCCTTCCCAATTCATGGGGATCCGTTCTGGACACCCCCACCCCCATGAATCAGGAAAATTGTAAATATTCAAGGCCCATTGGTTATAATGGGTGTGTGCTCCTGCGTGCAGTGCTGTGCACACATCTCATCCTCCCATTTTGTCCCTCCCCACTTGCCTTTCACACAGGACTGAGACCTCAGATGCCTAGTCCACGAATGGGGAGGGATGAGCATATTTAGACCCCACCCTATATCAAGAGATCACAAGGCAGCTTACAATAGCATTAAAACAGGTTAAACAGGTGTCAGAAATGGGAACTCAGCACTTGGAAGTGTTGAAACAAAACAGAACTTTATGGAAGAACAGAGTCACCATTTCACCACTTCACTGTTTAAGCTGAGACTGCCAGGTCATAGCAAAATTGATACATTAAAACCCCATCATCTACTACCCCATCCCTAACAAAGCGGCGCAAAATATATTTCCCACATGCTTTTCCCAGAAGCAAAATCTCCCTTGAATCCCCTCCTTTGCCATCTTCTAGCTACCAGTTTCATCCAACCTCCTTCTGCATTCCAGCAGAAGCCCAAGGTCAAGATAACAGTCCATCTGTCTCTTCCTTCCAATTCCCCTTTCACCAAACCTCTTTTCTCACCAATCTAGCCTAAATGCAAAGCTAAATATAAAGCACAATACAAAGCACCCCGGCACCCATTATCCCCAACATTACTAACATTTCTGGTAGAATTGCCAAATTCTAACAGGCTAAAAACAGTAAGAGAGTGTAAATAAGAGAGTGTAAGTAAGCCAGTAAGATAACATAAAATATAATAAATAATGAATTCATAATATTTTAAAAATGTAATTTTTTTAAAACTATAAATAAAAGTATGTTGGTTGAATTAATGAGACCTGGAGACTTTGGTAAGCAACCTGGTTTTAACTTGGTATGTAATGATAAGAGTGTTGTTACCAGTCAGGCCATTCCACAGGTGGGGTACCATGGCTGAGAAGGTCCTCTCAAATGTCCGAGCACAATGTATTGATCTGACTGGTGGGACATGGAGGAACCCCCACAGCAGATCTTAATCCTCAAGCAGACACATATAGCACCTTGAATTAGATCAGAAACACATTGGCAGTCAGTGCAATTATTTTAAGACTGGTATTACATGCTGTCTATATGATATTCCAGTCAGCAGTTGAGCTGCTGCATTTTGCACTATAGTTTCCAAGTCTTCTTCAAGGGCAGCCCTACATAGAGCTTATTACAGGAGTCTAGTCAGGATGTTACCATTGGATGGGCTACTGTGGTTATATTATCTCTGTCTAAGAAAGGCCACAGCTCACGCAGCAGTTGAAGCTGGCACCAAGCACTTTCAGCCACAAAGTGCACTTGGGCCTCCAGTGACAAGGCTGGATTTAGGAGAACTCCCAAGCTGGTCCTTCAGGGGAATTGCAACCCCATCCAGAACAGGCTGTTTATTCACTTCCCAAACTCAACATCTGCCAATCCACAGAATCTCTGTCTTATTAGGATTTAACTTCAGTTTATTGGCCCTCATCCAGTCCATTATAGCATCCAGGCATTAGCCATTTTCCAATCTACATGGTAAACTGGAAAGTGCAAATTAGGATCTTTTGCTTAAAAGTGTGGGACAAATTAAATTTTCTTTCCCCTACTCATTAAATACTTAGGAAACATACTGAGGAGGGGTTCTAAACTAGCTCAAATATGCTATTCTTCTATGAGTCACAATGTTTTTGCATTGAGGAACATGCAAACATGATTTCCCTGTTTGATTTCTTAGAACAGAACAGGCCAATGTGGGTTCTATGATTACTTTTTTCCGAATACATGGATTGACATTTAATTTGGGATTATAAAGTGCTCTGCTTTTACATAGAACTACACTCGTCCCTTTACATTTGCGGCTTTGACTTTGCGGATTTGATTATTTACGGTTTTACTAATATATTCTCTCTAGGAATCTCTAGGTCCTCCAGCACAACTTAACCAAAAGTCACACTAGGACCTAGACAGAACACTCCATTAGGCATCTGTACCTCCTCCAGCACAGTTTTTTTGGTCAGTGT